GTTTGCAATCTAGGTTCATTGTTCATGGTCTTAGTTGTGAGTAGCAGAGAGTGATTTGTGCCTCCTCTGTTCAGCTTTTTTGAGATAGTGCGAAAGCATTTCCTAAAGAGGGTGTCAAGGTAAGAACTGAAAAACATACTGAAGAAGAGATTAAAATGTGCCTTTGTTGTCAAATTTGCACAAGATAAAGTGCTGTAGCACAAAAATGAAGATTCCCATTTCCTGTTTACGTATAATGAGGCAAAGTTAAAACTCATCCATATATCAGTGAACTGTGGACAACTAACAGTACTTGAAGGACTATTTTTGTTTTTGCAGTGGAATGCAAGGTTGTGTTTAGATTGTGCGTTATCATGGTGTGGTTGGAGCAGGAAGATCGGGACGAGAATAAATGTTGTTCGACTTGGAGGCGCTAATTCAAGAAAGGCCAGAAAGCATCTTATTCAGCATGGCTGTAATTAAATAAAAAGCTTGCACAAAACTTGCAGCTACAGCAGATTGATTGTTGCTCGATTGCACAATTTTGTGAAGTCAGGGTTTCCTTTCTGTGTAGATCTTTAGGAAATTCCGAATACTTGTGTATGTGCCGGGTGTGTGCATGTGTGAGTGGGATGTTCCTGTTTCCTGCTGGCATTCCTGTCTGAATGGTTCTGGCAGTTAAAACACAGTTTGGCAGCATTATTCTTTTTGGCTATAGCTCCGAGAATCTCCAACCAGTATGTAGTTTAAAAAAGTACCTTCTCCAAATTCTGCAGGAAACTGATAAGAGAACTTAGTGGTGGTCTCTCCTTCTCCCCCCAGCAGCATTTGATATTTTCTTTTTCCGTGTCAGGAGTGTCTTCAGAAGCTGCAGGTTGCTTCTGATGTGAGAGAATTGGCCATCTGCAAGGATGTTGCCCAAGGGGGGCCCACGTGTTTTGCATGTTTTACCATCCTTGTGGGAGGCTTCTCTCATTTCCCCGCATGGAGAGCTGGAGCTGACAGAGGGAGCTCATCCGCGCTCTCCCTGGATTCAAACCTCTGACCTATTTTCAGTCCTGCCAGCACAAGGGTTTGAAACCATTGCGCCACTGGGGGCTCCTAGCATTTGAGATAGAATAATATAAAATGTCACTGATACTTCTAGTTAGTGGAATCACAGTGCAGCAATCCATCTTGTGCGATGTGTGGCTGGCTTATGTTTGGTCCTGTGTGGTTTTGCATGTTTGTCTTTGTTTGGTTCTTATGCACATTGATCAAGTGTTTCTCCTAGTCCTGATTCAGATTAAACGATTTATTGGACCCTACCCGCTCTGCCTCATCCCCATCTCTTTCTCCCGGCTCTTTTTTACTTCTGCATTTTGTTTTGATTATGCTGCAAAGGCATGGTACTAAAACCTGTTGTGTTGGGGCTCTGTGTATGAATTGTCTTAGGTGTGGATTTGGATCTAGATTACAGATATGATTCAACCCACTGTTGTGTAGACACTCAAACAGTTAACAAGGGGAGGAGATGGCAGAACCTTTATTCAGCAGTTTTTTTATTTCCTTTTCAGAAAAGGTTTAGGTCAAAAACAGGTTAGCAACCTTGAGTTTAATCCATTTGAAGTTTACTTGAACTTTGGTTCAAGGCCCCACTGGAACAAATGTGGGTTACTTGGGAGTCTTACATAATGGATGAGGACTTTCGTGTTTTAGTTAAATAGTCGGATCTATTAGCGTGAGTCCAGTAGGTCAAAACTTTGCATGTAGCTATGTATTGATAGGCCTAATTTAACACTCCTCCCCATTTTTTACTTACTATTTAAAATGCAAAAAAAATTCTGGGTCAGTAATATCTACTTTCAGGAATCTTATTAGTATTCATTACAGAGTTCTAACCCAAAGTGAGAGCGAATGCTTTCTTTCAGCAGCTTGTGTGGAGCAGCTAATATAAATGAAGCATCCTCATTTTATTTCAGATGAATATAAAAGTAGCATTTACAGTATATATTTTTTCCAGATTTGGGGCACTGGGTCTTGCAGATTTGACCCAGCTAACTGTTATGCACCCCTTAGTATGTTTATTTACCTAAGTCAAAGTTTTTCAGTCAAAGGGCTTTATTTCCATAATCTCTTATTGAAAACATCTTGCGTTTTAGAATCACCTAGAACTAAAACAAAGATTTATTGATTTATTTACAAAGATTGGGGGAGAGAGGATAGTATAAAAACAAAGTTTTATTATTTACTGACACAAAAACACAGTATGTCACAGCAAATGAGATATATATGCTGGAATTCATATCACAAAATCACAAGTCGAGCACTTCCCAAGTGTCCAGGACTGTGTAATGTATTATTATTATTATTATTATTATTATTATTATTATTATTATTATTATTATTTACCGCACTTATATCCTACCTTTCTCGACCCAGAAGGGAACTCAGGGTGGCCTTACAAAGGCAACAATTAGATGCCGCATATACACATATCATTGGTTAATAAACAAAACATTAAAACATTAAAATCCATCCAGTAAAAACAGCACATTAAAACAACAATTTACAATCACATAAACCAGGTCAATGTTAATTTATAATCTCCTATTGCACTGCTCCCATTACTGGCCAAAGGCCTGATCCCAAAGCCAAGCTTTAGGTTTTCTTTCCTTAAGGCCAGTATGGAGAGGGCTGATTTAATTTCACTGGGGAGGGAGTTCCATAGACGAGGGGCCACCACTGAGAAGGCCCTGTCTCCCGTCCCCACCAGTTTCGCCAGGTGGGGACCGAAAGCAGGGCCTTCCCCAACGATCTTAGCCTCCAATTGAGTTTACAACATTGGTTTGGATGATAGATCATAATGAACTCATCCAAACATTATTGTTCTGGCTCCCCCACCCCTGTGTACCCCATAATCCAAAACACATGTCAAATACAGATCTGTATGTATGCTGTCCTAGCACAACTGACAATATTGTGATGGAATTAAAAAAAAGAGAAACAGTCAGGGCAGTCGGATAAATATTGGCTTAAATCCAGTTGCTATTCCTAGCTAAAGTTGATCCATTAAATCAATTACTGAATGATAACTCAACACCTAGTAAATTAGCTGGTCTACTCAGGGCTAGCTTTTCCATTTAGGTCATAATCTACATAGCAATCAGACTAATTGCATTAACATTAAAGATGATGCAGATTCTTTGTTTTTTTTAATACCAATAAGTTTCATCATGAATTCAGCTGCTTGCGGAAATAGACTCAGTTTAACATTTGTTTCCCTTTTTGAAAAGCGTCCCTTGCTGAGTTTAAAACTATTCTAAGCCTGCCTTTGGAACTAGCAGGTATCAGCCAAACATTTTAAGAAGTATGTTGAAGAAGATTAGCCCTGTGAGCAAATGGAAGAGGAGGAAGTTAGGAGGTGATAAGATTGATGGGATAAATGAGAAGAGGAATGTGTGGGGGAGATGGGACAAAGAAAGAAGACAAGAGGCAGATATGCAAGGGGAGAAAGTTCAGCTGCAGTCTTCAAAACAACACAGCAAAAGAAAAAAAAACTCAAGAGAGAAAGCATATAGGAAGGAGTCAGAAGTTTAAGCAAAAGAGACATTTTCCCTTAAATAAAGGAGTGCATAACATTTCAGGTTTAAGATGAGGTTTCTTTTTATGCGTTGTTAAACTGGAGCTTTTACTGTTGAAGGATGCATCTATGAACCAACAAGAGAAGCTAAAGTACCCTTTGCTGTATGGGATATGTTCTTGGTTAGGGTTAAGGTTAAGAATAATCTTTAAGATACAAAATGTTCAGGATTTCAAAGCCTGCACGTGGGTGTTGTAGCTATGTAAAATAAGAAACCTATATAATTTTGAAAGAGGAGTTTTGAGTACAATGTTCTAAAGTAAAGTAAAGGTTTCCCCTGACATTAAGTCTAGTCGAGTTCGACTCTGGGGGTTGGTGCTCATCTCCATTTCTAAGCCAAAGAGCCGGCGTTATCCGTAGACATCTCCAAGGTCATGTGGCCAGCATAACTGCATGGAGTGCCGTTACCTTCTCACCAAAGTGGTACCTATTGATCTACTCACATTTGCATGTTTTCGAACTGCTACATTGGCAGAAGCTGGGGCTAACAGCGGGAGCTCACCCCGCTTCTTGGATTTGAACTGCTGGCCTTTTGGTCAGCAAGTTCAGCAACTCGGCGGTTTAACTCACTGTGCCACAGCGGACTAACTATGTTCTAACTATGCTAGTAATCCCTCCACATGTGTGCAGAGATTAAAAAAACTATATTTTTGGGCTACAATTCAGAGAGTCCCATAACTAGCATGTCCAGATTATTTCCCCAAATCTGTGCATGGATATGGACAACACTTTCAAAATAGGTTGAAGCCGATTTTCAGGAGGGGGGGGGGCGTTAAATGGAAGACCTTTCATAAAAATCCTGGAAAACTACTCATTCTGAAGAAAGTAGTCAGAGTGGCAGTCATCCACTGGGTTTGCATTGGCATCACAAGTGGGCCAAATCTGAGGTAATTTTTTTTAGAACTATTAGTTATTTTGTGACATTGAGGAGATGATCTGGAATTAATCTGCCTAGCAAATGCAGTGTAGTGGTTCTGAGCATGACTTCAGAAACTAGGGTTCAATACCCTGTCTAGTTATGGAAGCCCACTGGTTGACTTTGGGCAAGTCATATGTTCACAGCCTCAGAGGAGGGCCAAGGTAAATGCACTCTGAATGAACCTTGTGGAGAAAACCCTGTGATAGATTCACCTTTGGTTGTCATAAGTCAGAAATGACTTGAAAGCACACAACAACTACCTCCTAGAAAAATGTTGGAATATTTCTGATGACTTGCTTTTCCTGTTCGCTTTTGCTTGCATCTTTTTAAATAGCTTCCCTTTTAAGAAGCTGTATCTTAGATATGTATTTGATGTGTGTCAGAAAACATAAAAGTTTGGCAACAACTTTTATCAAGAGATCAATCAATTGATTCTTGCGCAACCAATGTGGGATGTTGTTTCTCTTTGTTCTTTTACAGGCGACTTCAGTAATCCAGAGAGTGCCCAAGAGCACAGGCTTGAGGCTCAAGAGGACACATTTTCTCCAGCAGACATTTGTCCGGAGGGACTTGCTATCCACGAAAAGGCAAGTGACCAGCTCACAGAAGATGTCAGCCAAGCACCTTGCCCACATCTGGACAGAAAACGAAAACATTCTGGTGAGCAAATGCAGAATGATGGAAGCGTGAAAGAAAACGCGATAGAGGAGCTGGAAGACGAATTTGCACCCAAAGCAAAAAACCAGAAGATATCCCAAGGTAACCAGACCCAGTTGGCAACCCTTCAGGCATGGCTTGTGAAATGAATCCACTCTTTAAATTAACCTAAGTCTGTTTATGACCTTGATTGTGCGAATCCTAAGTACTCACCTGAATGATGCTTGGGTTTACCTTAACAGTCATTGGACAACGTAATCGTTGGACAATGCAAATGGCTCTAGTGCATGCAACCCCCTAACTGAGCTAATTGCTTTTTTATTAAATGCATAGTGTGGTGGTGAAGCAGAAAAAAATAAATCTGCCCCCACAAGTGAACTATAGCTTTTGTTTCGAGTTGAGGGCCTTTTGATTAATTTTTAGTTATTTTTCCATTAGATGACTGGCCTGAGAGGGAAATGACAAACAATTCCTCTAACCACTTAGAAGAGCCCAATTGTAATGAGGTGACCAACCTGAAGGTGTGCATTGAATTAACAGGGCTCCATCCCAAAAAGCAGCGTCACCTGCAGCATCTTAGGGAACTATGGGAGCAGCAGGTGTCACCAGAGAGATCCCCACCCGGCAAGTTGGGCCGGCAAAGCAGGAAAGATTTAGCTGAGGCTGTTCAGCCCGAGGCCACTGCAAAGGTCAAAGACTGCACAGAAGAAAGGCACACCAAGAAAAGGTCAGAGGTCAAAAGCAATAGAAGTTGGTCTGAAGAGTCCCTCAAAACCAGTGACAATGAACAAGGTATGCAGAGATTACTAGGGACATTCTAGCATTACTTAGTGACGCATGCTGCCACCCGTGCTAAGAGGTTGCTCGTAGTTTTCTTTCGGGTACAAGTATTATATTATATCTAGTATAAATTTTTTTATTGTTATGGAAACACTTAAAGTGCCACTATTAAACTTCACTTGTGCTTGCTTTGCCAACTTTTTTTGTGTGGTGTTAATTATCTTTTAAAGCCACATGCTAGATGTATGTGTGTTTATGTGTATGTATAGCATTCTTACTCTTTGGGAATGGCTTTCACTTTTAATGTGTATGTAAAATGGGCTACTAAATCGGAGTAGATTAGGCAATGTATGAAGAATTCTGAATCTTCAGTGCTTACGAGAATAGGCTGCTTATGAACTTGGGCTCTCTGTGTGTGCGCATTTTTTGGAGCTGGCTTGCGGTGAAAGGAGGTGCCTCGTGTTCCATTCTTTTTCTGCGGAGAGAAGTGACAAATATTTCCAGTCATTTACATTTTGCATGCCAAATTGAGAATAGCTAAGGCCTTCTGTTCAGCCGCAAAAATTGCGCAACGTTCTGCAGTACTTATTAACAATTATAAGGTAACATGGGGCAACATTGATATCACTATCATTTGTTTCCAATGTGGGAGCAGGCCTTTAGGAAAGGTTTTTTGGAACCTGCCTTTGGGAATAGATCAAATGTTCAATCATTACACTGCCACTGGTAAGCCTTGGGGGAGATGAGCAGCTTCGTCCATGCTTGAAGGCTTACATGGAAGCGTTCTGTAGTGCAGGAAGCTCAGGCTAGTGGCTGCAGTAGGGCTATTGCCCTAGGTCAGTGGTTCTCAACCTGTGTTTTGGCCTACAACTCCCAGAAATCCCAGCCAGTTTACCAGCTGTTAGGATTTCTGTGAGTTGAAGGCCAAAACACCTGGGGACCCACAGGTTGAGAACCAGTGATCTAGATGGCTCACATGGCCACTAGGCATTCAGGAGAACAGTCAGTATTAAGGAGACCTGGGCCCCCAAAATCTGAGGTCAGATCTGCTTTACATCCATATCTCAAAGAGGTCTGAGGTAAATATTCCAATGAAAAGGCCAAGAATGTATTTCTCTCTACTAAAGCTTCAGAGTTCTAGACAATGTGGTTGACACTGGTTTGAGCCAAAAGAGTTGGCCGACAAACCAAAGGGTTGACCATCTTCTCCAAGAAGCTCCTCAGTTTTTGTGGAGAGAAAAAAAGAGACTTTCTTCTTAGGCAGACAGATCCAAATGCCATGGGTCTAGACCAGGCATGGGCAAATTTTGGCCCTCCAGGTGTTTTGGACTTCAACTCCCACAATTTCTAACAGCCTACAGTCTGTTAGGAATTGTGGGAGTTGAAGTCCAAATCATCTGGAGGGCTGAAGTTTGCTCTTGTCTGGTCTAGACACTGTTTCCAACCCATTTGTTTGTTGTTTCATCTTTTAGAACTTGAAGCAATCTTGATTTGACCTGATACTATTCAGGTTCTAAAACTCTCTTTATTTAAAATGCCATTTAGTCATTCATTCAGTAGATAAGTGGCTCTATTGATCCCTTTAGATTCAAATGAAGTTTAATTTTTGCTAGTTTTTAATCCACAAAATAACTGAATTAACAAACCCATTATTAAAATCTTTGTACTCTTGCCACATTTTTTTTCAGGATTTCCCCTGCTCAAGCATGGCCACAAGGGTATTACAAAAGTGTAATGAACCTTAACTACGAGAGTATATTTTGGTGTTTTGCAGAAGCTAAAATGGTTATGCAGGGTCAATGTATTTAGATTCCAGTTGGATTAAGTACATGGCATCCTTGCAAGACAGCAGCTACTGAAATTTAGGCACTTGTGAAGTACTAGAGAGAAGAGGCAGGATTGGCAGAAAGCCATACAACCCCAAGAAATAGCCATCTGGATCTATGCGCCCATTTGTGCTGCAAGAAGCATGCTACTTTTTGGTGTCCAAAGGGAGACTTCTAAAAGGCAGAAATAGGAACGAAGGTCTTGAACACCATTGCTGCCTTTTGGAAGTAATTTCTTTGCCTTTACAATTTTGTGTCCTGCTGCTGCCCAGAAAAGCAAAAACAGGCTTCCCAAAACAAAAAGGGCACTTCTCTTCCTGAAAAAGCAGTGTATTTCTGGGTTGCTGTGAGTTTTCCAGGCTGCGCGGCCATGTTCCAGAAGCATTCTCTCCTGATGTTTCACCCACATCTATGGCAAGCATCCTCAGAGGTATGCTTGCCATAGATGTGGGCGAAGCGCCAGGAGAGAATGCTTCTGGAACACTGCCATACAGCCCGGAAAACTCACAGCAACCTAGTGATTCCGGCCATGAAAAGCTTCGGCAACACAGTGTATTTCTGTTTTTGTAGAAATAAGGTTAAAGGTAAGGAAGCCACTTTTCTCATTTGCATCCACAGAAAGTAATACATGGAGTGAGTGATTCCTCATCTATGTTGCCACTTTGTCCAGATGGTGAAGTGCTTTGTGTGACTGTGTACCATTCTTAGACATCAGGGTTTTTGATGAAAGCTTGCTTTAATTCCTCACCATTTGCCATACTGGTGAAGTCCAAAATATCTCGAGGCTGGGGAAAGCAAGGGGTGGTGGTGGTGGTATGTGAACCCATTTAGTGGGTTAACACTTATACAGAATATAGAATTCTTATGCAAATGCAATGCAAATATAATAGTTGTATATTTTTTTAACAAAGGTAGGCCTTGCATTACGATAGTGTGTGTGTATGTGTCTTTAAGCATACCGTGCAATGTGCAATTCCTTTCCTCCCATCTAGGTATTCCGCTATTCCCGGCATCTCCGCATATGAAGAATCTTTCATCCCCCAATACAAACAGCAAAAGGCAAATTCATCCAAGCTGTACTCCAGCTTCAAGGTTGGCTGCCAAACAGCAGAAAATTAAAGAAAACTGGAAGACAGATGTGCTGTGCACAAACGAAGAAGAGGATTTCCAAACTGCATCCCTGCTGCAGAAACACGGTGACTGCGAGAAACCACCAGGGAAGCGTCAGTGTAAAACAAAACATTTGGCACTGCAGGAGAGGAGAAGGAGGTCATCGCTGACGGGGGATGACATTACAGATATCGAGAGCGCAGAGGAGAAGGTATTTTTATTTCCACTCTGGTGGCTACTAACATTAGTTTTGGTAAAGAGAGCCAATTTGAATTCTTAATGTGTCTTCTTGCATAGTTAACAATATTTACTTTACTTTTGATTTAAAACCCTCCAAATAGAGACATCCTCTGTTCATGTCCAGCATTTATTTTTAAAATTTTAACTATTACATTTGGCCCAGGCATAGGTTTTTAAATTCTTGTGTTTATTGTTTACTTGTGAGTTATATTAATTGTATTGTTTATTTTGTTTATTGCTTGTTATTTGATTACTGCTTGTTGTTTTTGATGTGTTGTTGGGTTTGGCCTCATGTAAGCCACTCCGAGTCCCTTGGGGAGATGGTGGCGGGGTATAAATAAAGTTTTATATTATTATAATTGTCACTCTGTTCTTTGAGGGTTTTGACCTCAAAGTTTTAAGTGGAGCAAATCCAGAAGATGCCTTTCAACGGAATGAGCAAAAGGTTGAAAGATTTTCAGTGAATTCTTAAGGGTGGCGGTGTGTAATGATTGTGACAGGTCATAGTTAATGAGGGGAATCTGGAGGCAACCAGAGGCTCTTTCAGATGGGGACTCTTCACCAGTCAAATCACATGAGCGGGCCTTGTACGATCGCCTGCAGCAGCGGTAATAGCAGGAGCAGCAGCAGGAGCAGAATCCCTCATTATTGCCTGTCTCTTCAACCCTCGCAGCTGCAGACTGGAAGCACCCCTCAGGAGACTACGCCAAGCCGTCCCATGCCGCCGGAAGCCCGAAGGCTTATTGTCAATAAGAATGCTGGGGAAACTCTTCTGCAAAGGGCAGCTCGACTGGGATACGAGGCAAGCATTGTTCTTTCTTTCTTTCCTTCTTTCTTTCTTAAGTTCTCTATTTTGAATTGGAATATGGGGAGATGCTTGGTGTCACATATGATTTTAATTGTGCACATGTTTAGAGTCTCTCTTTGTGCCCATTCTCCACATGGTGGAATATCTTGAGGCTCTCTGTTCTGTTTCTTCAATCAAGCATGCAATTAGTATATTTTGTGAGTGGGGTGCGGAGAGAAACCATATAAACTCCTGTAATTTAATAACCTTCAACCTGAATAGATGCCTGTCATGGCCAATAAGAATTCAGAGCATGATGCCCTTGGCCAGCCTGGAGTCCTGAATAAGTAGCCCAGGATATGTGGAGGGTGGGCATACATACACTGTTATGGAGCAAAGACAAGTATTTATGAAGGAGGGTTAATGACTTGCATGGCTTGGACAGTGCAAACGTACAAATATGCTTTGTTTTCAGTTTGCTTTTAAACATTGCATTTTCAATGTGTTTGGAGTGTTGCTCCTATGTTAGCAAAATACAGAATGCAGTTTATAGTTGGTAAACATCTAGGGTCAATAGATCTCAGTGGGCAATGGACTGGTTTAAACCAGTGGTTCCCAATCTTTTTTTGACCAGGGACCATTCTCCAACATTAGTACCAAAAAGGTTACGAATCAGTTTTTGGTCAACTTTAGATTCGTTTTGGTTATTTGGGGTGCTGATTCAGAAAACTGCATTGGATAGACCACATCAGCTCTGGTTTCTGATACAGAACATATGCCATCCAGGAGTCAGCATCTGCTCGCCCACAGAAAACCATATTTAATAAGCCTCGGCACTATAACAGTGAGACTGTGGACCATATTTTAGTTCTTGTGGACCACTGGAGGTCCATGGATCACAGGTTGGGAACTACTGGTTTAAATAATTATCCACACAGCTGACCCAGATGGACTGTATTAGAAAAGTCACTTTGCAATCATGGCTTTTGAAATAGAGGTGTCTGTTGCCAGATATTGTTTTTTTGGGAGACTACATACATTTTTAGACATTGGATGCTGCTTGTGAAAATGATTCATTTTTGCCTCATAAAAATCCCAACACAAGTTGTTGTAGTGGAAACGTTTTGTTCATTTCGGCTTGTGGCAGAAAACAAAAGGGGAAAAATTAAGAAAAAAATAGATTTTGTGCTGCTTACTTAATGTCCTGGTGGCGCAGCAGGTTAAACCACTGAGCTGCTGATCTTGCTGACTGAAATGTTGGTGGTTTGAATCTGGGGAGCAGGGTGAGCTCCCATTGTTAGCTCCAGCTTCTGCCAACCTAGCAGTTCAAAAACATGCAAATGTGAGAAGATCAATAGGAACTGCTTCTCTGGGAAAGTAACGGTGCTCCATGCAGTCATGCTGACCGCATGACCTTGGAGGGATCTATGGACAGTGCCGGCTCTTCAGCTTAGAAATGGAGATGAGCACCACCCCCAGGGTTGAACATGGCTAGACTTAATGTCAGGGGAAATCTTTATGTTTACCTTAGTCAAAAGCAAAGCATTATGGAAATATAAAAAATGTGAGCTGATCAGCTCTAAGATTTTAATCATGAGACAACCAACTTATTACACCATAATTTTCTTGATTAGATTCAAAGCTAGTTTCAGTGTACTGAGGCTTTTCTTATGGAACTAACCAGAATAGCAGATTGTGATCCAAATGATTGGCAATATATGGTGTATTTGGCTTCTTGTGTAGCAGAGCATAGATGCAAACCTCAGTGAAGAATGTGCCCCAGGCTGTAGATTTAATGCGCTTTGGACAGCATCTTACTCCTTTTTCTTTAGCTATGTAATTGGATTTTTTTAATAGTGAAAAACTGGTACATTTTATCAGACGGGGAAAAGTAAAAGTCTAGCCAAAAAGTGTGTTAGAGAGAGTACTCCTTATGTGGGAACACAAACTACTTCATAATATAGCCATAATAGTTCTGTTGTAGACCAGCAAGGCATCCAATCAGCATCTCATATGTATAAAATTGCTAAGATGTTAGGCTATAGAGTTTAGATCAAGCAAGATTTCCTAACAGTTTAACAAGGCTTCCTGGCTCTTCCCAGTTTTCCATGTGTGTATGTGTGTGTGTGTGTGGAGCGACTTGAGAAACTACAAGTCGTTTCTTGTGTGAGAGAATTGGCTATCTGCAAGGACGTTGCCCAGGGGATGCTCGGATATGTTACCATCCTGTGGGAAGCTTCTTTCATGTCCCCACAAGGGAAGCTGGAGCTGACAGATGGGAGCTCACCCTGTCTCATGGATTTGAACCTCCAACCTTCAGGTCAGCAGTTCAGCCGGCATAAGGGTTTAACTCATTGTGCCACTGCGGCTCCACTCCATGGGGGTCAACTGTGGTTTGACTCAGCTTGTTGATTCATTTGGACTATTATAGTATGGATTAACATATACAGGAAGTATGGACTAACCTATAAGGAAGGAAAGGAAGCAAGCCCTCCTCCTCCTCCTCCTCCTCCTCCTCCCTCTCCTCTTTCCCTGCGAAACAGCGAGTCCGCGAAAAGCGAACCACAAAGTAGTGAGGGAACAGTGTAACATCAGGGCCAGCTGTGAGGACAGAACGATGGGTAAAAGGATCGTTGTCTTTTTGTCCTAAGCTAGTTTAAGCATTTTGTCTTGTTTCCTGCAGTGATAACAGCAAAGGCAGTTGTGCTCTAGGGCTAGAGTTCAGCAAAGTGTATGTTTAGCATGCAAGGTCCATTAAGGGATCCCCAAAGAACCACCAGGAACAGTTTAGGGATGGGGAAGGGGGTTGAGAGAGAAGTCAGCCCAAACGTGGATATGTTTGTGCTCTGATATCAGCTGCCAAGGCACAAAATCCATGGTCAGTAAAGGGAAATGAAAGTGACGAAACCTGGAGATTTGTTCTGAATGTTACTAGCCACATGAATGCAATAAAATATTTTGGAAGAGAACCCCTTGTTTGACATCTGGTGAGCTTATGGGGGTGTGGGGAGGAAAGAGCAACCAGGAGAGTGAAAAAGAGCAGCGAGAACTGTGCTCTGTGTATGGGGAGTGGGGAGGAAAGCATCAACTTGGACAGTGTTCGCCTCTTCTTGCCTATGGCTCCTTTGAGCCTGACAATATGCCTGCTGTGAGGCAGTATGGAACATCGTGGCAGGCAGAAAGGTGCATGGAGGGTTTCCTACAACCTTCCTTTGCTTCTGTTGGCATGGTGGCGAGGAAGACTGTGGCAGGAGACAGCTTTCTAAGCCAACTTGGGCAGATGATGTCATGCCCAGGGAGGAGAGCGTTGGGTGGGTGGCTGGGACGGAGGAAGGAGGGTGAGCTACAGACTTCCTTTCAGCCTCCTTACCCGCCTCTCTTCTGCCCGGGTCCCTCCTCTCTTGGCTGTCGAATGTGCAGGGCTGAGTCACCCTCTTTAATACAAATGTGAATGCATTTTCAGAGTGCCAATTCTTACGTAGCCAAAGCAACCGTGTCCCCACATAAGCCGGAGGTGTCGGCCGCCCCTCCCCTCCTGAACTTTTGTGCTTTCGCTCTCAAGTGCGCAGCTGGCTGCCACACGCCAGTGGGAACCTTGTCTCCGACTTCCATAGGGTGCTGCGTGGCTTAATTAATTCAAACTGTATTCCACGGACCTTCGGTGAAAACAAATAAGGACAATGCTGAAGGCCGTTTTCTAGAGCAAACAGCGACAAACACCAAATTAAAATTCCTCCTAGCTGCACTGAATGCACAGCGCAAAGGAAAAAGAACAAGCATTGAAAGAAGTGATAAATATGTGCATACTTTCCATCATGATTTAAATGTACCTAGGGAATTAGAAGGGGCAAATCAGTCCATCTCCGTCCTGTGTTTCCTTTCCTCATAATCAGCAATATATATATATTTCTATCAATATATCTAAGTAAAGTAAAGATAAAGGTTCATATCTATCTATCTATCTATCTATCTATCTATCTATCTATCTATCTATATTATATATCTAGTGATATGAGCCCCCGGTGGCGCAGTGAGTTAAAGCCCTGTTCCGGCAGGACTGAAGACCGACAGGTCGCAGGTTCGAATCTGAGGAGAGGCGGATGAGCTCCCTCTATCAGCTCCAGCTCCTCATGCGGGGACATGAGAGAAGCCTCCCACAAGGATGATAAAAACATCAAATCATCTGGGTGTCCCCTGGGCAAAGTCCTTGGAGACGGCCAATTCTCTCATACCAGAAGCGACTTGCAGTTTCTCAAGTCGCTCCTGACATGACAAAAAAATAAATACCTAGTGGTATATCAATATTATATATAATATATATAGAGAGAGAGAGAGAGAGAGAGAGAGAGGGGGGGGGAGGGAGAGAGGGAGAGAGAGAGAATTATATCAAGATAGCTATAGGAGCCTCCGGTGGCACAATGGGTTAAACCCTTGTGCTGGCAGGACTGAAGACCGACAGGTCAGAGGTTCGAATCTGGGGAGAGTGTGGATGAGCTCCCTCTGTCAGCTCCAGCTTCCCATGTGGGGACATGAGAGAAGCCTCCCACAAGGATGGTAAAACATCAAACATCTGGGTGTCCCCTGGGCAACGTCCTTGCAGACAGTCAAGTCTCTCATACCAGAAGCAACTTGCAGTTTCTCAAGTCGCTCCTGTACCTGTTCAATTTCGTCATGCTGTGAATTTATTTTAAAAGGCCATGATGACACAAATTGACATCTGTTTCTGTACACAACTTTCTCTAGCATATACATTGTGCTCCTATAACGGTCATCTTGTGAACCGAGAACTACATCACAAAGCAGAGTCTTAAAGGATGGACTGTACAGCATTAAGATCTGCCTGTTTGTTCATGAAGCGCAAATTAAAAATATAGGCCAAACAAAACTTGGGCAGTGTTTCCACTAGAAATGTTTCTTTCCTTTCATTGCGCAGACACAGGGATAAACAAGATGTGATGGGTGCAGTTGTGTGTATTTAAACCAGAGCTTGGAAAAATAACTTTTTGGGACCGCAG